CACTTTCATCTTAAGATAATTTAATGCTGGCCTCAAAGTTTCCAAGGCCAGACTGATTCTTTTCTTAGTGGCTAATATAGTTGGTTACTTTAAGTTGAAACCCAGGAATGCACATTTTCTATTCTGAAAATGCTAGGGCCCTTAAGAATTAAACTCAGTCTACTCGATGTGTGCTGTATTGATGGAGCAACAAAGGCTGGATGACACACATCTGTTAACAACATGGTTGGTTGAATATTTTAAGCCCACTGTTGAGATCTACTGTTAAAAGAGAAAAATATTCCTTTCAAAATATTATTACTCATTGACAATGCACCTGGTCACTCAAGAGCTCTGATGGATGTGCAGAATGAATTCAATGTTGTTTGCATGCCTGTAACACATTCATTCTGCAAGCCATGGATTAAAGAGTAATTTTGATTTTTATTTGGTATAAAGTACATTTCATAAGGTTGTAGTGATTCTGCTGATGGATCCGGGAAAAACAAATTGCAGACTTTGTCAAAAGGACTTATTGTTGTAGATGTCACTGTGAACATTCATGTTCATGGAAGGTCAAAATATCAACATCAATAGGAGTTTGGAAGAAGTTGATTTCAACCCTGATGGATAACTTTGAGACGTACAAGACTTCAGTGGAGGAATTTACTGCAGATGTGGTAGAAATATCAAGAGAACTAGAATTGGAAGGCTGAATAATGACTGAATTGCTGCAATCTCATGATAGAAGTTTAAAGGATGTGGAGTTAGGTCTTATAAATGTGTGCTCTATATGTATAATAAGAACTGTAATGCATTCTGCTGTCATATGTAAATAAAAAATAATAAAAAACTATGGCATGTAAATATTATTGAAATGGCAAGAAAAGACTAGAATATTACATAAACTTTGTTGATAAAGCAATCACAGGGTTTTAAAGGATTGACTTAAATCTTTAATGAAGTTCTAATGTGGTTGTGAAATGCTATCAAATAGTATTTCATGCTATAGAGAAATCTTCCATGAGAGAATAGTCTATTGGTAGATGAATGTGGTAAACTTTCAGTGTTGTCTTTTTTTAAGAAATACCACAGTTACTCCACCCTTCAGCAAGTACCAGCCTGATGCTACAAGCATCAAAAAAGATAACGATTCACTGAAGTCTCAGACAATTGCTAGAATATTTTAACCATAAAGTATTTTTAATGAAGGTATATAAATTGTTATTTAGACTTGATGCTATTTTACACTTAATAGATTATAGTATAGTGTAAATATAACTTTTATATGCTTTCAGAAGCAACAACAACAAATGATGTGACTCATTTTATTGCAATATTCTCTTTACCAAACCTATAATATCTGCCAAATAGACCTGTAGTTGAGATTAGGAGAATTTTAAGGTTGGCTTCTAAGAGGAGGCAATTTTTCCTGGGTGTTCAAATTCACTGACACAAATGTAGGCTGAGACACACAACAGATGTTGTAAAGTCACCTACCTGTGACAGAGGGAAGATTTTAAGGTATAATTTCATTATTTTCATACACATAAAACTCCCTGGCAATAGTGAACAGTCTGTTGGCATTCGCCATTTTCAATCTCAATTGATCTTTAATAGATCTTGTTAGAGTCACAATTCTAAATATTTTGTGGTTATCATGTGGCTATTCCAAATCTATTTTCAAACACTACTTTTCACTTCTTCTATAAGATAGAGGCCATGAGGTGTCTCTACCTTCTACATAATCTCTTCTCCTAGACTAGGAAGAGAAATTTCTCCTCCTATTCCAAGTAGCTCCTCACTTCCTCTATTCTTAAACTCCTTTCTCAGTGACCTCAACTGGCTCGTCCCAGAAAGGGGCTGTGTTCTCCTCTTGGCCTCATCTCTTGTAAAGCCTCTATTTCTTGGCCTGAAAATACATGCAAGGACCTCTCATCCTGAAACCATCAACACCCTTATCCTTGACCCTCCAGTTCCCTTCTTATTTCCCTTCCATTCTCAGTCATCTTCTTGAAAGTATAGTTTAAACCAAAGCTTCTCAAATTTTAATGCCTGTTAAGTCACCTGAGGTTCTTATTAAAAAGAATTATATTAGTCTGTGGTGGGACCCAATGTTCTGTCTTTCTATCAAGTCCCCAATCTATTCTGCTATCCTAGAAAAATCATTCTAAATAAAAATGTCAAAACTCTACGTCTCATCATGGCTATACTTCTCTCAATTCTCTTTGTTCATTTACTTCTTATAATGTGTTCCATCAAGTTTATGTCAGTTTTACCTAGGAAACCCTTTATTATGTTCCCTAACATAACCTCAATGCTGACATACAAGGACCTGATAAAATCAATGATCAGAGGAAAATAGGAGAAAATATTGACTTTGGTGTAGAAGAAGATATTTTTTTTATTAAGAGTAAAATCAGCTAGAAAGGACTTTGGTGGAAGTCTTTTTTAGATTTATTTATTTATTTATTTTTAGTTTTTGGTATTAGGGATTGAACACAGGGGTGCTTAACCACTGAGCAACATTCTCAGCTCTTCTTGCTTAGGGCCTCCCTAAGTTACTGAGGCTGGCCTCACACTTGCAATCCTTCTGCCTCAGCCTTCAAAATTGCTGGAATTTCAGGCATGTATCACCAGGCCTGGCAACTCTATTTTTTGATTTTATCATATTTTTCTAAAATTTATTTTTAGTGCCTTATAATTACACACAATCATAGGGTTCATTATGCCACATTTGTACATGCATATATCACAGTATGATCAACCTCATGGACAGTGCCTTCCCTTTTCCTTCCCTCCTCCTTCCCTAATCTACTTGCTCTCCCTTCTATCATATTTGTACATGGACATCAAAAAATTTGTAGGCGTAATTCCCCAGTACTTTTGCATGCCCTCCTTCCTCCCTCCTTCCAATGTCCTTTCTCTACTCTATTGGTCTCCCTTTTTTCAATGGAACTTTAAATCTCAAAGTTGCCCAAGTGTGTGTGTGTGTGTGTGTGTGTGTGTGTGTGTGTGTGTGTGTAATAACACTAATAAACACATTAAGAAAAAAATAATAATTGCCATTCAATAGTCCATTTTACATAACATGAACTACATAGCAATGCTTTGGTCAATGATGGACTTAGTTTTGTCATAGCCATCTTAGTTCATTTAAGTACATCTATGATGTCTGCACAAATGCAAAATTGCCTAATGACACATTTCTCAGAATGTGTCTCCATCATTAAGCAAGGCATGGCTATATTTACATAGTTTTAAAATTAAAAGAAACATATAGGTTTCCTTCAATTTATATATCTGTATTCCATCGAAGTTGGCAATAAAGTAGGTTTCTGAGATAACTAAATTATAAATTTGGACATAGTTTTCTAGAGGAGAATGGACAAAGTTTAATGACTGAAAATAAATAACTTTAGATAGTGGTCAAATTTAAGTGTTGGGTTTTATGTATATAGAAGGGACTTCTCAATCTCTCATAGTAATTTAATTTCTTTCAACAAATTACAAGGTTCTTGTAAGTACCAGAGGGAATTAAAAAATGAATGAGAAACAGACTCTCAAAAAGCAGTAGGGATTATAAGATAATACTAAAAATGTGTTAAGAGCAGTAAGACTGTGTGTATAGAGAGTGACAATAGAACACAACAGAACAGGGGTCAGGAAGAAAGGGCTCAATATCTTTTGATGCTTCTTAAAGGATTTTTAAAGAATGGCCTTAAATACATGAACTGCAGAAAGATAAGTTTCTGCAGGGCTGTTTCGAAAGCTTAGGGTGCATAAAATCATGTGTGGAGTGGGGTAGGTGGAGTCAATAGTGTTCTCTAGCAATTATTGCTACAATCACAATGCTTAGCAAAACACTCTAAAATGTAGTGACTTACAATAGGGACTTTATCTCTTTGTGCATGATTATGCAAATTACCTGGGGAGTCCTGCTGATCTGAGCAGGGCTCAGTTGAACTTGGTTGAGATGATTTGTGCATCTGGACTCTTCAGCAAAGCACTGGCAAGGGGAGGTTGGTAACCTCATTCTTGCTCCATGTGGTCTCAAAGCCTCCATTAGACCACCCTGGGCTTTTTCTCATGGCAGAGGTAGAATGCTGCTGATGGGTCCTTGAGACCCATGCTCAAAACTGGCACATAGTCATTGTTCCTTCGTCCTACTGGCTACAGCAAGTCCTAAGTCAGCCATTAGATTATTAGATGGTAGGGAAATAAACTCTACCTCTTTATAGGACAGGCTACCAAGTCAGATTGCAAGGAACATGGATATGTGGGGAAAAATAAAGTTATTTTTGCAAAGTATCTTCATTTTGATTAAAATACTGAATAGATGGAAGTGTGAGGTGACATGGACTGGAGTTGACCTGACCTTTATTTTAAATTCAAGTAATAGTGAGGAAACACTGAAGGCTTCGAGGAGGGAAGAAACAGCATTTTGGGAAGCCTGGCGTGGGAAAGAATAAGCTTACAAAGTTATGAGGAGAGCAGAGAGAGGCAGAAAAAATTGTATCTTCTTCGAATTTTTAGGTAGAAATTGAGGAAGGTTTTGATTGTGTTTTGATTGGTGGTGGCAATGGGAACAGAATCAAGAGTAAAGGAAACTTCTTTAAAGTAATTAACTGATAAGGCCACAATGGCATCAAGGTGTGAAGGGCACATAGTATCTGCTGTATGCTTTTTCTCTTTGACCCTTTATGCCAGACTCAGATGTTCAACACTTGCCCTCTGAATCCACATCCAAATTTCTCAAGACATATTGTGTATCGTCACATGATAATACACCTAGTAATTGGCAGGATACAGTATCCTAGAGCAAGTATGTGGGACTCAGACCCTTTAACTGGGTATATGATTGTAATTGGACTAAGCTTTCTATACCATTCCAAACCGGAAGTTTTTCAAAGATTGAGGCTTTAGTTTGCTATTTTTTTTTCAGTAACTCTTTATCTTCATAGATGTCAAATATAAATTTTGTAAAATGTGTATTTAAAATGAGATGAAATTGCACAAACTTTATTTCCAATTTTATTTAAAACAAATAATGTTGTGATCCATATGAAGAAATTTGCATAGAAACCACATCAATTTTATTGCAATAAAAGTTGAAAGACAAAATTCTAATACTAATTATCTTACTCTGAAATAATTAAATGCAAAGGATATACATGTGAAGATGCTATAAACATGTAGGCATTACACAACACACATAATGGAGTCATAAAACATTTTATACTGCTTTATTATAAATAATTGGAAACAATATTTCATTTTTCAAACCCAGACAACAGTAAATATCATGCTTTCTTTTTTTTCATTATTTCATTTTATTTTTGTAATATCGATTGGGAAAATAGTATTCTTTATCCAAAGATTGGTTTAAAAAATTTGTGGGAACACAAACAACAAAATGCTCATTTTATTTCACTTAAAATGAAGATAATAAAGAAGGTTTTGAGAGGGAGAGGCTTTACAATATTATCAAGAAGACACTGATAATAGAAAAACTGTGTAATACCTGCAAATGTCACTTGTAAGGCAAAAAGCGGTTGTTTGTATACAGATGCATAAATATAAAAAAAAGATTTGATTGTAAACTTTTAAATTTTTTTCTTAAAAATGCAAATAGCTTTATGCTCCCAAATGGAGAAAAACCACTAAGGCATAATGGATCAAGTCTGAAATTTTGGCATGATAATCTTCTAGAAAACCTATTAATTTTCCAAGGAAGGAGATCCAATATCTATGTATTCATTCAATGTACTCATTTCACAATAGCTCATGTTTTGCAAATTTCGATGAAGAAAAGAAAAATACTGTAACCTTCAACACTTACAGGCAGAGAGCATTTCTTGAAAAAACACTTTAGTGACTTTAGTTGCCACAGACATCTGCCCTAAAATTCATTTACAATAGATTATCCCATAGGAATATTTTATTAAAGATATTTCTAGCACCTAGCAGTAATAATTTTCTATTAGGTGATTATAATTTTATTTTATGTTTTTCCCTTACATGTGATATAGAGAGTTTTTGCCAATTTTCTCCATTAATATTAATAGTTTAAAATTGTCTAAAGAAATAGAACCTAAAGGAAAAAAATGAGGAGTAATATATTTAATTAAGTAAGAATATATTTCTTTGAACACTTGTATTTATATGCATCAATTAAGGACAGTGTTGCATATTCCAGATTAAACAGGTATTAAGTTTAACATGGATATAAACATGCTATGTACAATGATATTAATAATTGTTTTTTTTTAATTTTTGTAGATTTCAAAGTGTACCTTTAGTAGAAACTGGAACAGGGTGAATTTAGTAAGCATGTTTCAGTTAATTAGCAAAAAAATTAAATTAGCTGAAAATAACAGGTTGACAATTAAAGATCTAAAAACACTTATAAAATAATTAAGTCACAGCCATGTATACACATGTAAGAAGATACTGTAAAATGAACTGCTCCAGTTTACTTGGTTTTGTTTCAACTTAATACACTCCAAGTACTGCTTTCCCATATAATAGCAAAGGAAATATTAAATGCATGTTTGTTATTTTAAGAACAAGGTGATACATTTCATATTCTTTAAATTTTACTCATGTTATAAATATATTTATCAGTCCATCTATTTTTTAAGGTAAATGAAAACTGTAGCACATATGCTATGTCCACATTTGATTTTATCTCTTTTGAAAACTGTATTTTAAAACATCAGAGTAATGAATAGTGTTTCTACCTTACACTGTTATCTTCCATGCACTACAATTTATATGGCTTACAAAAATGGAATTTACAAGTGAAGACAGGTTAACTCAGATCAACTAGTAAGTATGATATTGGAACTGTTATTCTGAAATCCATTAATATTGAACTCAGAGGACAATGCTGCTCCTTTTGAACTGTATCAAAATTATGCAACAGTATACACTTACTTATTTGTAGGTTTGCATAGAGATAATACCATTTTACAGATGTAATATTTATTTCCCAAAGGATTGTGGCAGGCCTTTTTCTATCTTCACGCATGTTCATTTTATTCATTTGCTCATGCTCTCTCTCTCTCTCTCTTTCTCTCTCTCTCTTTCTCCTCTTTTTCTTCTTCTTCTCCTTCTTCTTGGTTTCACATGAAATAAGCCATATTTATCATCTGGTTATCATAGTTTCAAACTAAGATCCAGTAGTAGTTTGAAGCACAGCAAGCTGAGCAGTTCTTCTTCCCTTTTTAAAGCATGTCAGTGGGTAGCATTCTCTAGAGTCAAGCCACACAAACACAGTGACCCAAGTAGAGACTTTTGTGAACTCAAAAGGCTCCAAATCCACAGTCAAGAACCTTGATGACATCACCTAACTACCATCTGCTGCTGGAAGGGAGACAATATTGTTCATTTCAGAAACAGTCTCTCATCTGCTAGTTTCCCCAGATTTCTTTGTTGTTTTTATAATTACTTCTGGTATTACGCTTTCAGAAGTCCAAAGGTCGAATCATCATGGTTGTGGAACGTAAAGAGTAGCTGGGCCCTTTGAAGTAGTGCCACTTGATTCCATTCAGTTTTCCATGATTCTGTCCCGCCGTATAGAACATTCCATTTAGATTGGAGGGGCCACAAGCATCAAACCACCAGCCTGAAAAAGCAGTTAATAATGGAAGAGATAAAGAGAAGCAACAATTACAAATTGAACATTTGGAAATTACTGGCATTAACTGGTGGAGAACTTATTGAAATGTCATGATTATTTAAAAATAGGAGGCATTCAGGGTCTATCATCTTGGCAGTGGATTGTTTCCGACGACATTGGTTAAAGATGTATATGAACAATCTAAGAGAAGGATGCTCTTCTGAAAACCAGCTTTCAGTGTGACCCCCCCCCCCTTGGGAGTCACTTCCCACAGTAATTTTGGAAGTCTGAAGATACAATCTAAGTCAGACTTGGAAGAAAATGTGGAGTAAGTAAAAGGCATAGGCATTTTACCTCAAGCCTTCATTAAGAATACAACAATTATTAGTAAAACAAAATATGTTCTCCATTGACTTCTGATTTTGTCAAGAACTAGCTCTCAGCTCCTTCTAAAATTAAAACTGAATACTGTAAAATGCCTATGATGCTTAACTTGAATTTCAATTCATCCATCCTCTCAATAGTTTATAGCAACTGGGAAGTTCATCCATAGTATTCAGACAGTGCATGTATAGCAATATTTTGTCTATGATTGTTCAAGCTTTTCCTAAACTTAGCAAAAAGAAAAACAAACTTGATGGGTAGTATGGAAATCCTGTGCTTGCATAACTCTATAAGGATAACTGGATAACCCAAGTTTATGTTTTTAATGAAGTAAGGTCTAAGATGTTTAGATAAAGCACAGTACTTTTCTGTCTCCTGAAGCAACACTACTGAAATCTTTAGGGAGAGACTTATGCCAGAGACATTCTGGCATATTTGTATTCGGATACAGTTGACCTCTCTTTGATTACAGAGTTGTACCTAAGGGACTAATAGCTAAAGAAAGAGAAAACTGTACAGCTGATGTTGGACTGTAACATGAGCATCGTCTTGCAGAAACTTTAGAATAAAGTTAAATGAAGAAAAGCTAGTTCTCATTTTTCAATTTCGGAAGATGAATACAGCTGGGTTGTGTTTATAAAGTCACACTAGAGGCATAACAAGCTACAGTAATCACCGATTCATCCTGGGGCAAGCAGTCAAGTATGTCTCAATGGATTTTGAGAGACACTCTATGCAATGCTTTGTGCAAACATAAATGTTAATGCTGTCAAAACACAAGGGACAAGAAGGTACTTGTTGGGCAAAGAAGGAAGAACTGTAAAATCCTATCATTACTTCCTTAAGACTACCTCATTAATTTCGATCAGTGCTCGTATTAAAAATATGCTATTTGTAGTACAACAGACATTCTAATGTTAGAGAATTTATTTACACAGAAGACTCTAGAGCACTAAAGTGAAACTCCAAAATTAAATCCAACTTATTGCTTCCATGTTTTAATTTACCTGCTCCTTTTCTGTGTCTTTCTTGAGACACTTTTTCATTGTATCAATGAATCTTTCCTACTCTTTCAAATACACATCATGATTTCATAAAGTGCATAATTTCATGCACTTACTTTATTAATGAGAATAATGAAGATTCAAAGAATGCTCTATTGTGTTGAGTCACATTAAAATATCCATGCTGAAAATGTGTGTCTCAGTTATTTGTTTTATACAAAGTTACAGGACTTCTAGAAAAGTGTGGATAGACAGATGACAGCAGAAAAATAAAGAGCACAGGCTAAAGGATTATTCATAGGAAAGCTTTGGATGAGCTTAGGAAAGAGACAGGAAACTATAGGGACCTAGGAAGAAAATCAGATAAATTAATTTTGTGTTTCTTTTCTGAGCAAAGTGCAATAATGAATTTGTGGTGAGAATGACATTTTGGAGACACCAAAAGAAGGCCATTGTGGCTGGATTAACAGTCAACAAGATAGTTGTTTGACAATAAGGGGGCCTGAAGAACAAATTAACCCAGTCTGTTCATCATCATAAAAGCAACGGAAAACCCTGGTTTATACACTGGTCCGTGTTACATTTTTCGTGCTACACCTAATTGAGTTTGCTTAGCACAGGACTGGCATGTAACTTCAGGGTTGTTGAGTGATTGACCAACCGATTCAACTTGGGGAACTGTTTAGTTTACTAAAAGGCTATATTTAATAGACACCCCAATATATAACCTCTGTGCTTATTGTATTAATCTTTTCTTTCTTTATTCATTCAAGTGTTACACAATACTCAACAGGACAGACATGGTCCCTGCCCTCAAGGAAATTACTTCCAACATGAGAAGCAGATGAAATAAATCTAAGTAAATAAATGAACTACAAATCATGACCAAAGAATGCCATGGAGAAAACAGGGAGCCCTGAAGGAGGATAAGATAATGTTTCACATTCATGGGAGACCTGAAGGAAGAGAGGGAGGCAGCCATTTGAAGTCAGGGAAAGAATTTTCTAAGCAGAGTACAGCACATGCAAATGTCGTGTGGAAGAAAGACAACTTGGTGTGGTTAGAGACTAAAAGAGCATCACTATAACTGCTACATAGGGAAGAGAGGAGACTTTCAGAAAATGAGGTGGAGAAATAGTCTTGATGGAAAGCTGAATAATGTTTGTGGAAAAAATTATAGTTTAGCCAGCCTGCTTGTCTATCATCAGCTGAACAAGTAAAACATTTGCTAGGAATGGGAACCCATATTTAAACAGGGGAACCAAATCTGCCAGGCTAAATGTTTAATCAAGCAGCATGTAAAGTCCTCATTCTATATGGTCTGTCAAAGCCATCCTGAGTGTATGTGTCAGTGTGATGAAGGGGAGAAAACTGAACCTAGAAGCAATTCAACACAGACTAACCAGCCGTCAGACAAGGGGACAGGGGGAAATATGTTCCTGACTTCAAGGTATGCACTGTTTTTGTAGAAGACTAACTGTTTAAATAAATCAGATGATAGTTACTAAACAAAGAGATAAAGAACATGTTATGGAAATAAAGGGGCAGAAGGTCCTGACTGCTTTTGGGACTGTGAGATTCATTCATTTACCACCTGAGCTGGGTCTTGAGAGATGGTATGATTTCAGTAGACCAAAAGAATTTTCAAGTACTCTATGTACCCTAGAAAAGCAGAACAGAGTGTCAGCCAGCAGCTTAGTTTGGCCGGAGTGCCAATGGGTAAGGGGTTGGGAAAAAATAAACAGGAGGGAAAACATTATACTTTTTCTAAATTTTCTTGTGAAGAATGGAGGACCCGGAGAGATGAGAAGTTTGAAGACCTCAGCTTCAATGCTGACTTCATCAATTAACAAGCTGTTAATCAGTTAAACTGAGACCCTAGGAAATGATATCAACAACATGTGGTGTTTATTGAGTGGTTTATATGTTTTAGGAACTGCATGGAGATATTTGCATGCATTCTTCTCATTTCATCCCCCAAACAGCTTTCTACATATGGCAAGTATATAATAACTACACCAAAGCTCAGAGTTTAAGGAAATTTCCATAGTCCCATTCATAATATATGGATTCTAATGTCCAGTCAACCATTTTCACAGCTCAGTTAGGATCAAATAAAATGTCGTACTATGATATCCTGTAAAACTCTATCTGGTGTCGCTTAGGAAAGAGAGTGGGGAGTTTTGAGGCAAGAACAAAAAGGACAAGATTGTTTGGCTCCACCATAATGATGGAATAATGATGACAAGGTCATCGGTGCTAACAAATTTTATTTGTTTGGTACAGTCTGTTAGAAAAATATGGAAACAATTCTGTTGCAAATGAGCGCAGTTTACAGTGTTCACATTATAAAAACATTGCATTTAAAAACCTGACCGAGATTTTCTCCCAATGTTCTGTTTTGAATATATGAGCAATCAAAATTATTGACCTTGAAGTATTCAACTATCTCTTAAGACCAGTGGGTCATACACACTGTGATGTATCAGAGAGCAATTGATGATAATAAAGATGCCAAATTGAGATGACAGAAAATGAAATCAAAGGGCAAGTATTTCTCATGACCATTTCAATTCCATTATAAAATATTATAAACTACAAGTTAGCAAAAGTAGGTTACTTCTGTGCAGGTAAGTAGTCTCTGTTGTTTCTTTTTTTTTTTTCTTCTCCTCGACATGCATTTTTAAAAAAAAAAAAAAAACTACATAAACAAATATTTTTTGTAACAAAATATTGCAAATAGTTTTTCTACTTTCTACCTTTCTATGAAAAAATTAAGGATAGCAAGGTCTACTAAATATGAATCCTGGTAAGATGTGGTTAAAATATATTTATATAAGGCAAGGAAAAGTCTAGCATTATCCTGGTAACTTCTTGGTATTCACAGGTCCTTAGTGTATAGGTAAGTTTGCATGAGATGAAGATATTCGGTTTGAACAGACTGAGGAACATGGCTGTGTTTGCAATTCCCCTCTGACCAGATACCAGATAGCTGAATTTATATGTGCTGTGCAATCTTGGAAAAATATTCACTTAGTACTTTGTTCTTTGTGTGCCTTGGAGTAACTAATAAGAAATATGCTAAAGAAGTTTCTAGGAAAGACACTTTCATTTCAAAAGAACTCAGTGATGCAAGAATGGGATGGAAGAAAGCAGCTTCCCTCTGCCTGCGGTTGGGACAACTGATAACATGTCTCAAATGTTTTCAGGTTGGCAAGGGCTGAGATGTACTTTGCCAAGCATTTTTGTCTATAACCTGTAACCTCATGTATATTTTAATAAGAAATCGGAGATGCATGTTTCTAATTCATTTACACTTAACTCATTAAAATTTAGTTTTGTAAAAACTATCCCAGCCTTCCGAGGCCTTTAAAAAATCACTTAAGTCTTTTATCTTTGAAGTAGAAAATTCACATTTTATCACTAATAAATGAAACTCTGCCCAGAAAATAGGAATTTGATTCTAAACTTTGTACTCAGGAAGTTCAAATTTATTTGAAAGTCAGGAAACCTAACTCTCAAAGTCTTCTGATCCTAAACAAAATGTCTCTCAACACTTCTTTTCTAAGGTAAAGAGTACACCGAAGTGAAAAGATATATCTTTTTCTTTCTTTCATT